ATCTATCTATCTATCTATCTATCTATCTATCTATCTATCTATCTATCATCTATTTCTCTGTTGCTCCATCCATCCATCCATCCATCTGTCCAATCTTACCCAGTCAGCATGTGGCAAATACTGTAGTTTATGGGTCACTAAGACGAGTGTCCTTTTATCATCTTTCAGGAACTTTAGGATACCTTCTTGCATTAAGTGGTCACTGAGGTGAATGTCCAAGGCAGAAAATGGGTCATCCTGGAATTCCACATAGGAAATTAAAATATTACAAAAGAGATATTATATTCCATCTTACTGTCCCCAAAACCTTCTGTTATCATTACCTTACTTCTGCTACACATAAAACAGCATTCACATTAATAATTTTCAATACCTTACTCTTAGTGCTGATGGTGAGGGAGATAAAAAAACATCACAGATCTCCTTCGGTAATCTTCTTATGCATTTTTAAGTGAATCAAGTGATTTGTTAAGTGAATTGTACAGACTTTTAGCTATACAATTTGGGATGAACACCCTTGGAATGGTGTGGGAGTAGGAATGGATTTCAAGGGGGGGGAAATTGCAGACTACAGGAACCAAGTGTACCATTCAGGTGACCCCGAGGACACAGATAAACTTCCAAGTGGTCTCAACAACCCTCTAAAAGGATGCAAATGACCAGCTGTCTGCAAGGAATATAAATCCTTCCATTCTCCACCATCCAGTCAGAGCTGAAGAAGCTTCTTGGATGAGAAGTGAAACGTCTTCAAAAGCAAAAAACAAGGAAGTCCAGTTGCCTCCTGAAAAAACTCCTAGTTTGATAGTGCTTCTGCCTCTTTAAAATACTTTTCATTTACCAGGAAGACGATGTTGGCGTTTTGGTAGAGTGCTCGAGCGACACAGATGCGTTGCCGTTGACCTCCACTCAAGTTAATTCCCTAAAGGGTATAATAAACCATAATTTTCAGTCAGCTGCCCAAACATTGCAGCATCTTTACTGACAAGCCCTTGAAAAAAAATAACAAATATTTTAAAAAAACATCCTAAAACTAAACTTCTTCCTAAATTTATATGACATTGGTTTATTCAATCTCAATGCTGTTGGCTACCAAACCTAAAGTGTGAACAGTCTAAAAGAGGACAAAGAAGATCTTGGCATATAAGCAGGGATTGTTGTTGTTTGGTTGTTAAGTTGTGTCCAACATTTTTTGACCCTTGGACCACAGCTAGCTAGGCCCTCTGTCCTCCACTGCCTTCCAGAGTTTGCCCAAATTCATATCCATTGTGTTGATGACACTATCTAACCATCTCATTCTCTGCTGTCCTCCTTCTCCTTTTGCCTTCCATCTTTCCCAACATTGGGGTCTTCTCCAATCAGTCCTCTCTTCTCATTTGGTGGACAAAGTATTTGAGCTTCAGCTTCAGGATCCCTCTTTCCAAAGGGCAGTTGGGGTTGATTTCCTTTAGGAATGACTGATTGGATCTCGGAGGTCTCGGAGAGCGAGGACTCAGATGAGGGGCCTGCGTGTGATGCAGGGATGGGACCAAGACTATCAGGGAGTGGAATGCTGCCTTTGGAGATTGGGAGGCTGGCAGCAGTGATGAAGAGGTCCCCGAGGAGCCTGTGCCCAGTGCGTGTGCTCAAAGGAAAGAGCAGCTGCAGCAGCACGGGCAACTCGGGAGTAAAACTGCAAGGTAATGGCCCCTCCCTTAAGAGATAAAAACCAGCTGAGAAACCGGAGTTCTTTGCAGGAAGCAAAGAAGTTTTTGCACTCAAGCTTTGGGGACGTTCGGACTCTCTTAGTTTGTGTTTGGAGACTTTTTGTGTTTGAAATATTTCTTGGCAACTTTATCTAGTGTTCTTGGCAAGGGTCATTCTTATCAGAGACAGTTCGTTTGAAACAGCCTTTTTACCGGTAAGGGATGGAATTCGTAAAGAATCCTTCCAACAGTCCAGATGTCAACAATCCGACTAGTGAACCCAAAATAAGTAAACACTCACGGGAGCTTTGAACTCCCCAAAAGTAAAACTGTATTGGATACACAATTTTGGTACTGAAGAATCAAAAACAGCTCTGGTTTTCCCACACAAAGCTTTGCTTAGCGAAACAATACTTCCGCTTTCTCCGTACCCCTGGGTGATCACACTTTCCAGTTATGAGACGTCCTTTTGTTATGGACCAGTCCATCTCTTTCTCCAGCAACTGTAGCGATGACCTTGATGGTTGCCAGGTTCTTATAATCTACTCCAGGGGTGTCCAACCTTGGCAACTTGAAGACTTGTGGACTTCAACTCCCAGAATTCCTCAGCCAGCTTTGCTGGCTGAGGAATTCTGGGAGTTGAAGTCCACA